TGTGACCCTCTGGACCAGTGAGGTCAACGTCAGGGACATAGAGTTCTCTCTCAAACCTTTCTATGTCTTTTGCACCTCACTCCCCCAGCCATGCACTCCCATTCCTGCCCTTGACCTTGATGGTTTTTTCCTCTCCCTCAACAGGAATAAAAAAGCAAATATGCTCCGGAGTTCTTGTCAGTCATCCACTTTAGGCAGTTTGGAGAGGAGAGAAACCTTACCCTCGATGCAATTACTAAATGGCTGAATATAAAAATCCTGAGCTTTTCCTATCCCTGAGCTTCTAGGCATGCTAGCTGATAAGCCCCATCCATTGCATAAGGTTGTATAAGGTGAGTGTTCTGTTATGGGCAGTGATTTACATCCTCACTGATACTGGGTTTTACAGAAGGTCTCCGTGAGGATGGGAGCACAGATTTCATAACCTCGGGGGAATAAGAATCTGTTTTATATGATTATGGCCAGAAAGGGAAAGCCTCAGGGTAGAGGGATGAAAGGTATTGCTTTGGTTATGGGTCTGTGCTTTTCTGCTCTAATCCCAGGGTGGTGGTCAGCTGTACAGGGTAGGGACTGGGTCACTTATTCACCCCGTACTCCCAATGCCTGGCGCAGTGCCTGGCAGATTCGGCTGTTAACACTAGCTGGCAGATTAAGTGAATGAATGAGTATGAACAAAAGTTTAGAGATGTACTCGTAACTAAGGTCACAGAGAGTATCATCTATTGCCAGCAATAGTATGGAAATCTAAAAAAAATTAGGTAGTAATTGGGAAAGATGGAAATGGGATGCTAGCTTGTGAAATTGGTAGAAAGTATTTGGGTGAAAAGAAAATTTAAGCTTTAGAGTTACACTATTTCAGGCCACAAAAATGAAGGAAGGAAGAAAGGGAGGGAGGAAGGGAAGGAGGGAGGGAGGGAAAAACTGCTTTGGGAACAATTTTTTCTGTAGTTTATACTTAATTTTTTTCTTCTCTTTAAAAGGACCGTTTTTTTTTTCCCTAAATGTCTTTCAAAATATTTTGATTCTCTTACAAGGCTATATTGTAAGATAGAGAGTAGAGGAAGGAAAATTAAGGGCTTTTTCTAGGTCAGATCTTAATAGAAAATCACCATGGCAGTGATTGATGTGCTATGTGAGGATTCTATTAAAGTGTTCCTGTAACTTGTCTAGATGCAAAGGAAGGCGGTGTCATGGAAACCCCACAGTGTGCTCGCATAGGGACTTTGCTGTGACGATCTTTACATTTGTGGCCTCTTTTTCTACAGAATAGCGGTGCGAATGCTATTCAGCATGTTAGATTTTTTAAAGCTGACAGACAATTCACTGACTAGGAATTTTTTTCTTTACTTCTGTCCTAGTCCATTTCGGCTGCTATAACAGAGTCTCAGAGACTGGATTACTTATAAATAACAGAAATTTATTTTTCACTGTTCTGTAAGCTGGAAAGTACAAGATCAAGACCAAGGCTGATTTGGTGAGGACTTGCTTCCCAGTCCACAGGCAGTGGTCTTCCCTCTGTGCCCTCACAGAGAGGAAGGGGCAAAGGAGCTCACTGCACTTTATTATTTTTTTTCGATAAGTATCCTGATGCCATCGTGGGGACTGTACCCTCATGACCATATGCCTCCGAAAGGATTTCCTTCCAAATATCATGAGGGAGTAGGTTTCAACATATGAATTTTGCTGAGCCACGAATATTGCGTAGAGAAGTTCCTAGCAGAAAAAGATATTTGTTTGAACAAAACAGGTAGTATGTTTGAACAAAATTACGAGGTATTTTGTAAATGTAGATTTGTGAGTAGGTCAAACGAAACCTAAAAGGAAAATGTGACTTTCAAATATTGTGGAACTAAGAATGTCTTATTCGAGCTTTTGTGTATAGGTCATTCTGTCAACAAATTATATAGTATTATTGACCCCAAATGACCTTTGCTTTTCAGATTTTTGAAACAGGTTTTTGGTTACATATATGGTTAGCTTAGAAAACGTTTTTTTAAAATAAAGATTTCATTAAATGGGTGAGTGTGTGTGCTCACAAATGTGTCTGGTTCTAAACTTTTAATTAACTCTTGAAGGGGTTAACTCTTAACCCATCAAAATTTGGGGTTGCAGAAGTCTCAGCCTCCCCAGCAAATTTCATTCTTTCACTCTTCCAGACCACACTGTAGGAGGGATTGTCGCCCTCACAGCTGACCTCCCCTTTAGAAAGTCCTGGCAGCAGTACCCCAAAGGGTACTCTCTGCACGCCAAAGGAGGTAACACAATTTTAGATTTCAGTCACTGCAGCCAGAGCCAAAATCTTCTCCTCCAGGGCTCCCTGAAAGGGGCTTGCTCAGATGCGCTGCTCACACCTCCATGCTCCCTGGTTTCTCATGTGTCAATTAATTCTGTCATGTAGACCGCAGGTAGCATTGGTGTGATTACTGCACAAATGTCCTGTTTGGGATGAGTGCATACCCATGTCTCTGAGAGCAGTAGTTTTCAAATTATTATGACTGGGAAACATTATTAGAAATATAGTTCACATCACGATCCTGTATTCTCACATACATATATATGTGTATACATATATATACACACACATACACATGTATATGACATACATATTTCACAAGATAGTACACTTACCTTTGACAGTGATACACTTCATTTTCCGTTGCATTTTATACTAACAATCTATTGTTACCTGCACTTTGAAAAGCAGTGCATTCACCCTGCTTTCTGGGGTAGAATGAGTACTCAGCTCCGGAGTCTCCAGAAGTGTTTCTGCCTGTTCCCTGGAAGAAATGGACTCTGATGACCAGCCATGACTTACCCATGCCCACGGTCACTCTGTTAGTGTTAATGCAATTCCAAAATGATCACGTGCTTCTAATACTTCTCTATGGAACCCTCTATATTAGATATGAACAAAATTTTAAAGAATTAGCTCCTGTATACCTCACAGTCCTATGCTAGCTGTGAGTACTATGATGTTTTAATTTTATAAATTAAAAGAGATATTCATTATTCTGCCAAGGAAGTTGAAGAACAAGGACACTATGCTTAATGCTGCATTGTTCTAAAACTTCTGCTCTTTGACCTAATAATGCTTTTCTTACGCAGTTCTCAGTGTCCTAAAATGAGTAATAAGAAAAGTATATGAATTATCGACATACAGGGTCATCATTCACTGTTTATAAGTTAATAATTTGTTTTTTAAGTTGTGTGTAGAACTATAGTCTAATAGATATCTGTTTGCAAATCATAAGCTGTACTTTCATTAAGAAAAATAAAGTTTTGATATTTTATCTTAGGTTTATGTTAACCAAAGACATGAAGGCTGACTTCTTTCAAACATTTATTGATAATTACCATAATGGAAGGATATCTGCTTTAGTTGTACATAGATTTTTATAGGCAGATAATAATGTCCCTTATGAGTTTAAAATTTTGTAGCTGTGATTTTAAAATATTAAATTAATGGAAGTAATTTTTCAGAGAAAAATAGCAGCATTAGAAATATGTCAACTTTGGACTCAAGATGTTTTGAAAGGCAAGTATAATTTGCAGTAGAGTAACTATTAGGCAGATCATACAATGGCAATTCTGAAGGACAAATGTCACATGATATATGCTGCCTCATTGCTCTGAGTGAATTAGGGTACATCTGATATATATGTGTATGTACACATACACATACATGTGTACCCACATATATATGTATACACATATGTATGTGTGTATACACATACATATGTGCACATCTGGGTGTGCATGTGCACACAGATATATCTCCTGTGTCATTAGAGATTGTGGGTATGACCTGTCCCTTGTTGGTTGCATTGGAATCTAGTGTACGAATTTACTTTCAGGTATAAGCAAAACCACAGTTTACATAGGCTTTGGTTTGTACCACTGGTGGATCTGCCAGACCCAATAAATAGTGCGTATTGAACGTTGGCAAAGCTCGTTTGATTTATTATGCTTTTCTTCTTTCTGTAGGAGTTAGCCTCATTAATAATGGGGTTAATGCTACATCCAGCACTTATTTAGCTGATTAATTCATGAATGCCACTGAAGCATATTAAAGGGAAACTTTGAATATTACAGCTTAGCAGCCAGGCTTTTTTGGAGGGAAGTCAAATATATGAGAAATAAATACACATACATCTGGTATTTGAGGTGCACACTTATAATATCTTATTGTTCACCGAGTTCTCGGTTCACCGAGTTCACTGAGTTCTATGAAATTACATAAATGATATGATTATGAGACTTAGTTGCAACTTAAAAAGATTTTCGGAACCTAATTACCTATTCTGTTGTTGCCTATTAATTCATTTTAATTTCATACTCAATTCAGAAAAAAAGCAAAAGCCAACACAGAATTAAAATTTATGATAAAATTTTTAAAGCCAATCAAGAGTGTAGTCATAGGTTACCATCAACACCATTTAGTTGTTAGCGGCCTACTAACCAGAATTTTTTACTCTTTCCTTCGGTTATATGTCCTGGGAATGTTCAAGGTATCTCAGAATAGCGGCCAACTCCTCACAGATCATTTCTTTATCCTTCTGTTCCTTATCTAACATCTTCATCACTGAGCATTCTTTTAGGGTTATGAGTTTATAGGTAATCATTGAATGTTACGAAATATGTGGCCACTGTCATCCTTGGCCAACATTCCCTGTGCACTTTGATGTCTAAGCACAGAGAGCGTCACAGTAGGTTAACCTTAAATTTGTTTGTGTATATCAAATGAAAAAGGAAGTGTCACACATTTTTGTTCTTTTATGGATGTTTTAATTGTATTTGTACTGAAATAGCCTTAGGGCAAGACTAGGACAACTCCCCCTCCAACTCTAATAAACCCCCCATTTTTCTGACTTAATTGTATTGTGCATATATGTGTGTACAGATATATATATATGTGTGTGTATACATGTAAAATGTGTGTGAGTATACATATGTCCATATATATGTTATATATATACAACAGTTTTTTGGCATGACTTAAATTGCTAGATTGTAATCAGTCTTGGTGCTCCGTGACTAGATTATTTTCCTCGCTGAAACGTGGAATGATGATTATTTTAATAATGCTAAATAAAACCTTCACTGGATTTTGAATAGGTAAATTGGTTTGACCATTGCTCACTATGAAGAAAGTATTTTCTCTGGGCCTCAGGGCCTTGTACTGATGGCTGCTTTCCAAATTTTTGATAGAACTAGAATAACCTGTCACTATGGCTACCAGAATTTAAATTTACTGTTATTAGAGGGAAGCTTACGAATTCCCAAGCCACTCTGAAGTTGAATCCATGAACTAAATCCGTAACTGCTCCCATAGGAGCTGGGGAAGAAGCCCTGCAGATTTCAGTGTTATTCTCCCATGTCAGGTTAGTGGATTGGATAACTTGACAGTCATTTTTTTCTTTAAAAAAGAAAATGATTTAATATGTAGAGCAATGCTGATCTTTTTGTTTTCCTTTATAGTATAATTTCTCTCTAAGCTATTGTCTAGAGTGCTGCTGGAATTCTTTATACAAGGCAGATAATGTGTTTCTTCTGTGTAAGAGCTCACCATGGACCTCTAAGGGCCTGAAAGTGCCAGTCTGGCTGCCTAACCTGGCCTTTAAGGTCTCCGATCTGGCCCTGGGTGTGCCCCTGCAGTTCCTTTGGCCCGTCACCCTTGTGGACCTCTTGAACACTAGTCATATGGAACTATTATTGATGGCTGCTGGCTGCACCATCAGGTCACACTGCCGTGTCCTTGCCTATTCTGATATGGGTCTCCAGGACCACCTGGTTCCCTCTGTCTACCTTTCAGTTCTGGGAAGTTTGTTTTTCCACACTAGTCTGGCAATTCTGCCAGGATGGCCTGTGTCTTACTTACATCTGTCTTTCAGGTCAAGCACAGCGCACTCAATAATGTTTAAAATCAAAGATGAAGGTCACTCACTCATTCTCTTTAGTTAAGAGATTAGAACATTGGAGAGAATCTTGCCCAGTAAGATTTTTTTCTAGATAAATTATTTGTAGAGAGAGATTAGAAACCTTTGACTACATTTTGTGTTTTTATGAGTACCAAATGTACTTGAGTTCCAGATACTAGTTTAGGAGCTATAAATGTGTTAGTTAGCTTTATTATCATAACAACTAGTTGGGGTAGATTTTTATATACATTTTAAAGGAATTGAGTAAAGAGATTCCGAAAAGGTAGGGGGAGTTTGCACAAGCCCCCAGATAGTAAATAGAAAATTACGTGTTTTTAAAGGCCACATGACACCCGAAACTAGATTATATAGACTGTATTATAGTTTAGAGAAATGATCCATTTTGATTTTTAAAGGTTTTACTATGTAGTCATATTACCTTCCCCCATTGTTCTGTTTAAATGTTATGTCTATTTGTGGACAATCTGTAATAGAGCAATAATGATATCTAAGTCCATTTTTCTCAGAATGATGCCAGTCTTCAAAATAAAAATATTTGTACTGTTTTTATAACATGCGTCTGAATCTTTTCTTAGAATAACAATAGATGACCATTACAATCTCATTTTTATGGAATATTTTCCTGCATCTGAGCAGTTCAAAGTGTTAGGCAATGCAGTTGACCATAGACTCTAGCTCCTTACCTGTAAAACTACTGTACTTCAGGTAAGTTCTCCTGTTCTTTATTTGCCGCATATTTTCAATTTACAATTAAGGAAAATGATGAAAACATCTCGAATATTTTTTACACCCCCAAGTATTAAATGCAAAAATGTGTGTATTTTGTAATGAGGAGTGTGAACTGTAGGACATAAATCAGACTTGAGCTTTAACCACTTCAGTTTCCTTCAGATACTGAGGATAAAGATGGTCCCTGTCTTGCGTGCCGGTTAGGATGAGTGAATGAGTTAATATCTACAAAATGTTTAGGACAAAATCCGTCCAAAAGTAGAAGCTAAATAAATGTTCATTATGATGACTGAGGATTTTTTTCTTTACAACTTTGTTTTTAACATGAAGTGTTTTCAGAAATCGAGTCAATTCACATTTCGTATTTACATTGAATAAATGAGTAGGATAGGGAAGACCATTCTTAGAAAACAAGCTCTGGGGTTACTGTCTCATTCCTTCTCCTCCCCAACATATTTCTACCAATCCTGGCCCCCCTTTTAAGAAGACAAATTAACGAATAAAATAGGCTGTTTGAATCGTACTCTTTTCTACCCCTCTCTTCCTTGGATTCACTGCTGGCAGATGCTAGTTTTTACAGTCAATATTAATAGAGTGGTGGCAGCCCCTTTTTCATTCTAGTAGGTACTTTGCAACTATTGGTTAAATGAATCGGTGACTGTACAGTAATGTGCCAGGTTTCTGGCTTCTTGACCTTCAGAGAAAGGAACTTACAGAGTTTTCTCATACTTCATATACTGAAACATAAATATTAAAGTAGAAGTCTCTCCCCAAACAAGAAGTCCTTAATATCTATGTTACAACTATGTCATTTGCCTGATAAAGTAGACATAAAGATATTAGAATTTAAATCCCAGCTAACTTTTAAAGTAACTATATGTGTATCTGATACTGCTTTCAAATAATTACCTTAAAATTTCAGAGGCAGCCCAGTGAACAGGCGGTGTGTGTTCTGTAATACGAGCACTGGAGGACATAGCAACCTGCCCGAGACAGTGCCCTGCAGAACCCCGGTCAGGACTGCACCGAGACTGGGATTGCAGTCAAGTTCGAATGCAGTCCCTGGGCAGGATTTCACGCCCCAGCCTTGAACTACATGCAGCAATTACTTTATATCTTTTAATGAGTCATACTTTAGTCATTCTTAGTCAGTGAAGTTGAAAAGACAAGAAATATTGGAGAGATTAATGTAGTGATTTAATGCTAATCATTGTCTTCTCCATTACATACTGAAATACGGAGTAGCAATGGTAGAGAAATACTGAGTAAATATGGCAGTGCATCAGAGCACTTAACCCCTTGGATTTGGGAGAAAAGGTGGAAAGGCTTTTTGGAACTCTGCCCTTGGCTGATATTTAGGAAAACGACTAATTGTCCCTTTTATTTATTTCAAAGTCGAGAGGTCTTTGCAAGTGTAAATATGGATGCTGACAAAGTTTGGTAACACATGGTTAATTTGTGTTCTGAAAACCGGGATAAAGGGGTAGTGTCTCTTTTTTTTTCTGAGATTAATGCCTGCTGTAAATTTTGGCAGCAATAGTTTATTGCAGTAAGATCAGTTCAAACATATTCAGGCTTAGTTTGAATGAAAATTGAGTTTGACTAAAGAAAATTATGTCCTTCTAAATGAAAATGAGCAGATGTACAAAACGAACCTTAAAATTAATCTTGGATTTACCCCTTCCTGCATGCATCATTTCACAGAGATATGGAAAGTGACAAGGTGGGTGGGGGAGGCTGCTGCATATTCAGAGTTTAAAAAAATCACTGCAGACCTATTTGGGGGGCTTCAAAGGAGCAACTATTAAGGAGATGAAATTGCTTTTCTGCTTAGAAATATGCAAAGAAAATATTCCTCTTCTCAAAATCATTTTACCTTTAACTTCTTACTACATCATTTTAAAAACTGTGAGTTCTTTGAATTTAACACAAGTTTTATTTCCCTGCCTGTTGTCTAACTGAATGCTGTCTACTATTTTAATCATGTTAATCTACCACTTAGTGTAAAGCGCTGCTCTGTGCCTGCTGGAGAACAAAAGTGCTTTCTGCTCTTCCTTCTTCAGTGCACTGGCCTTCACATCGGGCATGGTCCCGCAGCAGCTAGGAGTTTTCCTACTAGCTGATCAATACAGTCAGAACCCTTTATTTAGTGAGATCAATGCCATGTAATGAAGTCTGTGTTCCAATTCCCTTCTAAGCATCACTGCTGGTCTAGGAAGGTGTCTTTTTTTTTTTTACTTGCCCCCCCCCTGTTCGAAGCTCAATCAAAGTTATGTTTGAGTTTTTTCATTATTACTTGGGATGGAGCAATGCTTTTGAGCCCTCTTTAAACATGCCCCACAAAACTAACTCGCCGGTACATTCCAAAGTCATGTCTGCTGAAGAGAGAAATCATGTGAGTTAAGAAAGAAAATTGAGTATCAGCAAAATACTGCTGCTTCAGTTAAAATCTATGGCTTAATCACATGAGTGCTGATAAATGGTTTTGAGTAAAGTGTTTTGTTTAGTGAAAATATGCCCACAGGTTCGCATCATGCTTGTGGAAAGTATATGGATTATCGTAGGATCAGAGAGGTGATCTGTCAATTAAGTGTTCTAAATTCATTTATATGCAGCATGAATAAAACAAATTGGAATCTATTGTACTTCCCTTCTGAGTTATACTTCGCTCAGGATTCGCTCTTAGTGAGACTTTAAATTGTTTTCATCTTAACTTAAAAAATATTTATATATTTGGAAGAGTGTTTTAAAGTATTTGGGATATCAGTTTGCTAACATTTTCATCAAGATCGGCAGACCTGAGGCCTGAAACTTGATCTATTATGTAAAGTGCTAAAACTCAATTTGTTACCTCATTGGCTATTGTTAATGTATTTTTATAAGCTTTCATCATGACCTAACAATATCCTAATACTGTTTTAGATGAAAAAGTCTGTCTCAATCAAGGTTATACTATTTACTAGAAATTACTTGTTTTTAAATAACACAGTTAATTGAGGCCCATTGGAGAATTTCTGTTTTCTAGTTTCTATTTTACTTGGTGTCATAACACAATGCTTATATTCTTAGGCAAGGCTGAATTGAAGCACGTGACTTCTAGTGTGTTGAAAGAGTTCAAATTAAGAAAGTTTGAAGAAATCACCTTATAAGGTATTGATTTAAAACAGTTTATTTTCAGTGTTGTATAATGAGAAAATTTAGTACTAACAGTTTTTAGGTAACCATAGTTTACAAGACGGAGGAGTAGAATTCTAGACTCAGAAGGCATTTTGCAGATGGCCGAGGCCCTCTAGGGGGCCCTCCTTTTTCCATGGAGCCATTAATTAAAAATAAAAGCTTAGCTACTTTAATTTATGTTGAGTTTGCTAATAGGGTAAAATGAGATTGTTAGAACAATCGAGGTAATAAGAGTCAGTGTAAAGACGAGTAGGAAACCAAAAAAAATCTGCTTGGAGAAAAAGCATTTTTGAGCACCTGGTGTGTACAAACGCTGTAGTGCAAATGTGCATAGAAGTAGTTTTGTTCTCTGTCAGGTGTTCGTAACATGGAGTTGTGGAGCACAGGTAACATAGTAGAAGTAGTAGGGGCTCCTGGAAGTAGTGATTTTTTTCTGTCTGGTGGAGGTTGGGAAAGGGTTCTGGGAGTCGTGGCATTTGAGCTTGGCATGAACACATCGGAATGAAGCAGATGAACCAACTGGGATTTTCTGCTGGGTGTTTCTCAGGTATACAGTCCCAGGAGTAGAAGGGAGCCCAAGACTTTTAAGATGTAAGTAGACCCCAGACCAGTGTGACTCGGTTGGTTTGGCATCATCCAGCAAAGCAAAGGGTGACTGGTTCAGTTCCCGCTCAGGGCACATTCCTTAGTTATGGATTTGGTCCCTGGTGGGGTCGTATACCAGAGGCAGCTGATGGATATTTCTCTCTCACATTGGTTTCTCTCCCTATCTTTCTCCCTCCCTTCTGAAAATAAATAAAATCTTTCATAAAAGATAAGATTTTTGTGACTGTAAGTAACTAGAAGATCGCCGGTACCATTAACTGAAATAAGCCCCAGACCAAATTTCAAGAGTGGGAGGGAAGACATCCTCCTCTCCTAAAACCTTAGCTCTTGCTTTGCTGAGTGAAGCGTGTACAGTTCCTGCACACCCTCAGCTGCACGCTTTTGCACGTCACTCTGACCCTTCTCCCTCCTCCTTCCCACTCTGCCCAGCTAACTTGGCTGCTCGTGATTTTTTTACAGAACCCGGGCCAAGCGTACAGCTGTGTGCACAGCCACTGGGATACGTGCTCTCCTGTCCCCAGTTAAACCTTTGGTGGTTTCGTTAATGAGTGTGGTTTCATTTCGTAGCACTACAGTGACCTTGTTTTTCTCTGTAACTCTAATCCCAGCACACAGTTAATACTCAGTAGATTCCTGTTGGATTAATGAAAGAGGGTAAAGAATGTTGATTGTTGTGAAGATAACCTAGGGGAGGACATTAACCAGCAGTGACTTGGGCCTAGATTTGGGGAAAAGGTTTGGGGCTCTCACGTGTTAGAATTGGTGCTTTGGAGCCAGAATCCAGAGAAGAGGAAAAGTGCTGAGGACTGAACTGTGGGACCCGTGACGTGGAGCCGAAGGAGGTCAGAGGGGAAATCGGTACAACATAAGCTACAGACAGAGAAACCCCCAGAGTGAAGGAGTGACCAAGGAGCTAAAATACTGCAGGGAGGCCAAGAAAAATGAGACATAATGAAAAGGTTGCATTCAGTGAATGGGCAGTCTCTGGGGCCCCTGAGACTAGTTTAAATAGAGTGGTTAAGATGAAAATATGTGTTTCTTTAAGAAAACATTCACATGTTTTCACATGTCATTTGTAATGATGTGCTGGACAATTTAGTTTATTTAGGTGTTTTCTATTGACCTTTTACCCCGCAGTAACCAGAAGGCTAAGGATTTCTTGTGGGCGTTTTTAGTTGATTTAAAGCTGGTCATTGGGTGAAACACATTCTAAGTACCGGATACTTATGTGAAAGTGCACAGAATAACATTAGTGTTTCCCCATGGTTTCATGGGTTTCTCTATTTGTCCTTGACTCATAATGAGCCTAATAGCTGTAAGTTGTCACAGTGCCTATGGTTACAGCCACATTCCATGAGAAAAAGTTAACACCTGTGGCCAAAGGGGCTTTTTCTTGAGAAGGGCTGAAACCTTTCCCAAACAATTGAATTTTCTAATCAGGAAATTATCAAGGGGAAATAAAAAGGTTATCAAAGGAAATAAAAATGATAAGACATCTTCTTGATTGAGTGATGTCTGTCTGGGATGTCCTATAAATGTTACGTCTGAGTATTTCTTTACTTACTGTTCTTTTGTTCTTAGGTTTGCAATTTAGGACGGGATAGATGGTGCGATGAAGTTCCATAGGTTTTCTGTCTGAGTTGGGCATAAATCATGCCTTCCTTTTATATCTAGTTCTTTTATATTACGGCTCATTTGTCTTCTTTATTATGGTCCTGTTTGTTTTCTACATACACACAGGCTGTCTAGCCGTGTACTGTTGGGTGAAATATCAATTTTGGTCATAAACAGGCATATATTTGTTTTATATTTAGAAATATGTAACAGCCAGACTTTTGAAGAAAACTAAGTGATATATACAACTTATCACAATCTGTTTCTTTTCTATTATTGAATATTCTGTAATTGCTTTGTTCAAGTTCTCAACTAGTCATGTTTTAAAGCATCCAGTCCAGGAACCTGCATCCGGGAGAGGGCATTTAAGAAATACGTTGGACCTATCCCTGTGATATGCCATCTCAAAATGACTGGGCCCCACACATACACATTCTGCAGACTGTTGTGTGTCTGTCTGTTGTTCCTCATTGTGTATGTGAGAGAGTGATATAATTTAGCCCAAGTACGTATGGATAATTAAAAAGTCCATTTGGTTTATGAATTAGGTAATATGCAAATTCAATGCTGTGAAACAGGAACTAGAAATAACAATAACATAAGAAATGAGTTTATTGCTCTCACAGGTAACCATTTAGAAGTCGGCATTCAGGGGAAGGTAGGATGGCTTTGCTCCATGAGGTCATTCAAAGGTTTAGGCTCCTTCTTGGTTATCGTTTTGCCTTCCTAGACCATTGTCTTCATTTGCAGTCAAGATGGCTAACCGTCAAGTCTGCAGCCTAAGCAACAGAAAGGCAGAGATGTACCTGCATTTTATTTATTATTATTTTTTTATTTTTTAGTGTTGTTCAGTTACAGTTGTCCCCATTTTCCCCCGTTGCTCTCCCCTGCCTGTCCAGCCCCTGCTCCCAGAGACAGTCACCCCCCCATGACCTGGAAGTTGCACATACACCCTGGCATCCCATTGGCCAGAGGTTTCTTTTGAGGCCCAGCAACCTGCAGAAAGGCAGGGAAGTGACTCTTTATTTTGAGCTGCACTGGACCCAGCTAAAAATTCTCTTACTTTGAAAGAAGGTGAGAATGAATATTGAGTTATAGTTTCTGTCCTAGGGCACAATATACTTAGTGTATCTAAATTGCAAAAATCCCATTTAATGTATTTGCATTATTGTAGATCATTTATTGAATGTCCATGCAATATTGCTCAATATTAAGTCATCATCAAATGCTTTATAAATTATTCATACCTCCTTCAGTTGGAAAACTTGATGATCTCAAATCCCAGAACTTTAATCTCTGAGGAATTTGGTTGTGTAGTAGACGGCATTTAATTACTGATGGAAATCCATTTGTTTCTTAGCAGGTTGGGGTGGTCAGTATCTGATTACTTCTTGAATATTCTGTTTATTCATTCATTTCAACTACTTATTAAGCTTTCTTAAGTGGAGGTCCTGTTCCAGGCAGTGCGTGAGATATGAAATGCACTGGACACAGACTCTGGCGTTAAGCTTTCTTTTTATGGTTGTGCGTACCTCCCTGTGAAAAGCCGGCCTTGATGATAGTGGTTTTATTTTGTGAAAAGCACCAGAGAAATTGCCCAAAAGTCTCTTCCTCTCATTTACTCAGTCTGCTCTGCATTATGTTCCCTGGTTGCTAATGTGAGAAAATTTTCTCAAAGGTTCGAATTCTTTATTTTCCTGGGATTATTTGTTGGCATTGAATTTTCTCATGGGTGAGGAAGTTACCCCCATTGTTGTCAGTTAGTCATGTCAAGGAATGAGGGGGAAAACTATGTTTATGTAATTAATGGTTTTTTCAAGATTTGGAAGGTTCTTTTTTTAACGTAACAAAATATACTTTTAGCTAATAATTTAGCTAGGTAGTAACTTTTAACTAGTAATTGAAGAATTAATCCTTTCTTAAGTGATTGAGATTTAAGTTTGCTGTTTAATCAGACTCTAACTTCTGGACTTTGTAGAATGAACGATCTTAAGAAATAAAAGGCCAGTTTTAATACAAAGTAATGGAATACATCAATAACCATTAAGGTATACAGGCTAAGCCTCCCTTAGGTGCACTGTTTGGGTTTTATTCTTAAAATGCCAAACACAGCAAAACCTGGTATGACCTTCACATTGCTCCCAACCTAAAGTCACACACACACACACACAGAGCACACACACACAAAGCACTCATCCAACCTTAAATGTACTGCACTATAAAACAGCAAAGAACACTGGCTCATCTAGTTTTTTCTTTGTTTTGTGCATTTTCTTTAATGGGATCTTTGGAACTTGTTCTTTTAACAGTCTTCTTTTGAAATAGGTTGATTGTTTTTTATTACATCGAAAGAGTGAAGACCAATGTTGCTGTTACTAAATGTCGTACATACAACAGAAGATGGAGCACCTTGCTTGGCTGTAAAAACATTGGTGGCACAGTCAGCATTTGTTCCTAACTCGTTTTTATTGCATGTCTGGCCTTTCATGTCGTACTCTTCTTTCAACCTTGGTCTGCTCTCTGTTTAACATAGATATATGTGAATATTGATTATCATGCAGACACCTCTTGAATGATAGAATTGTATCACTGAGGGAAAGAAGCAGGACTCAGTGGAGAAAGACAGGAAAGGAAGAAGTCTCTGTTCCCCTACACTTGGCAGGAGGACAGATAAAATTTAAATAAAGATGGAGATAAAGCATCACTATTCTTTGCTCTTTAAAAAAAATTAAGTCAAAGGGCTTAGGTTAGGGTACACGAAAAAGCTCTTAAAATTTTTCTCAGGATTGTGCTATTATTTAGGTGACAGGCAGCCTAACCTATTATAGGAAGAACAATAGTCCGAGAGTCAGGAAACTTGGGTTTCAGGGTCAGCTCACCTACGGACTGCAGTGTCGGCTTTCTACGCGTGTCCTCTCACTGTGACCGTTTCTTATTTGTAAAATGCAGGGCTTGCACTATGTGGTTTACTGAGATTCCCCTCAGGTCTGTGATTATCCTTTTACTGGTCACTTTTATCTTAAAAATAGCACAGCATAAAACAAAGGGTCAGTATGTTGAAAGCCACATTCTATAGCAGCAGGATGTGTGCACATGTGTGTGTAACTAATCTTACCTTAAGGCTACAGCCCCTTCTTGGTAGTTGAAACTCTTCATGAACAAGATGTATGATGTAGAGAGATGTTAGGCTCTGGGCCCTGGGTTACACAGCATGAAGCCTCTTTCTTTTGCATTCTAGGAGCACTGACATGTAATCTCCGTGAACTGGCTCACAAGTGAAGTGGTTGGTGTGGCCAGCGCTACAGTAGCGTGTTCTCTATGGGTGAGGGGCCAGGTGGCCAGCCTAGGTGGCAGTTCCCTAACCTGCTGGTTGTCAGTATTTGTCCCAGTTGTATATTTTTCCTCCAGCCATATTCCCCTTGGATCACGTGTCTGACCATATAGATTTAGTTCACTTAATTCAAGGTCGGTATTTCCAGTCTCACTTAACCTTATTTAGTCACTTTGGTTTTTACAATTAGGTGAATGGATTTCCTTGGAGTGTCATTGCTTCCCTTTTGGTAGTAGCAATCAATATTGATTTGATGGGGATATTAAATAACAGTATGAGAAAAATGATAAGATAAACAAGCCACTTTGCAAACTTTGAAATTTAGAAGATTTCTTTCAAACATATTGTAATTTAGAAGGGAGAGAGGATATAAACACGATTGTGGGCGCCGTTGTGGGAGATGAAGCTGATTAATGAACCCTCCTCCACCTACAAAATTTGAGTACTCTAGTTTTTAAAAAGATAGAATACTGATCCTTTCCACTTCATCCCTAAGATAGGTTCTTCTTACTAACAGTTATTTCTTTCAGCTATGCTCTGTTAACTCTTTCAGGTAACTCAGTTACCTTTGGTAAGACATGGTTTGGTTCATGGAGTCAGGAGGTCATACTCTGAATCATTCAGACCATGAGTGTCTGCTGGGTTATTGATTGTGTGCTCGGATCAAAGACAAACAGAGACATAGTGGAAAACTGTTAGTAAATAGGAGGCTAGTTTGGGAAATTGTGAAGCATATAGCCTTTGTTATTGATTGGTTTTATATGAAAAGCTTCAAGGTCAGTAACCTCTGGTACCTATTCCTTTGATTGTCTGGCCCTTTGGGAATTAATTCTTTTCTAAAATAGGCGCATGCCTGGTCATTCATTCTATGAAATAGATATTTTCTTGAGAAACTTTTCTTTGTACTAAGTTCAATCCATGTAGTGAGACCCAAAATGGTTCATCAAAGGGGTATTTAAAATAACACATAGAGTTTGAGCAGAAAATAAGTTAGAGTGGTTAGTAACATTTAAAACATTATGCAAATATACCATGAATTATCACCTTCATCCTTATAGATACTTATGTTTCAAAGTTATCTAGTTCAGATTTTTTTTTAATTTTAAAGCCTATCTTTATCACCCTGTGGTCACTTCCTAACAAATCATCCTTTTCAGCCAGCAAATCTAGGTCATTTGGATTAAAAAATAAGTGCAATTTCAAAGAGTTTGTCTAGTAAAGACTTTAACTCAGGTTTCTCTACCTTGGCGCCGTGGACATTCTAGACCAGGCAGTTCTTTGATGTGTGGGTGTTAAATGGTGTTTAGCAGCATCCACTCCATACCACTAGATGCCCCAGTTCTGACAACCAAAAATGTCGCCAAAGATTGCCAGAATCACCCACAGTGGAGAACCACTGCATTAAAGAAACAATTATTATCACCATTTAACACCAAAAGTGTCGCAATAAAGGACAAGTCTTCTTGGGGAAGGATATAGTGTGAGAAACAAACTGACCTAACAGAATTTCAATATTCTCATTTTTTGAGATTGAGTTTACTTGTTTTCTTGATGTGTTTGACGAATCTACATCAGAACATAGAAGGCGAAGTGGAGTTCAGATATCTCACGTGTTCTGTCACTTACAGTCATTGTAGAAATTCTAATTCACGTAGGCCTATGGAGATATTCTAAGCAGACTGGATAAACTGGCCAGGTGAAGTGGTGGTTTTGGCGTGGTTCCAAAGTGGCCCACAGATTGATCATCGAGATGTCGCAGTCAGGGCCTCTGACATCAGGAAGTTTCCTGAGAAAGATACCAAGGGACCAGTAGGAAGCTTGGTCACCAGCCAGGAGGAAACCCTGGCCTGTGTTGGAGAATCCAAAGGACTGACTAATTTGGTTCCCCCTCCGGGTCACTGATAGGTGCTGAGCATAAGCCCCAGAGGAGCGCGATGCATGATGATTCATGCTGGAGACATTGCTGCGCCTTCTAGTTCGGCGGGTCTGAAGAATAGGGCAGAAATGATGACTCTTGCTTCTCTCCCACAGGCACTTCTAGTGGAAGTGATCGCGGGGGCACATTGTGGGTGGGGGATCTAGGTTATGAGTGACCTCAATAAAATAATTCAGCTATAACTGCTGCCCAGGGGCCAGTTACTCTATGTAACCCCAGTTCTTTCCAGGATATTAAATTGGTTCCCAGGCTTCAAGTAAAGGCTGGAAACTCTTGGCATTCCAACATTATTGACTCAGTGAATTTCAATAGACAAGATGCATCTTCCAAAAGAGAAAGTGTTGTGTTGGCACTTACCCTTTGACGTGACTAGTTAGGAGCCCTATATGTTCTTAGGGTTTGTCATATCCCTTCCGCAGGTGGGGTAGGAAAATAAATGAGAACCACTGGGGGCCTGAACATTTTTGAAATGCAGAAGGGAAACCTTAACACTGTTCATTGTAAGATATTTCTCAAATATTTGTTTTCTGCTATAAAAGAAGTCTGCAATTTAGATGTAGAGTGTTACGTTTATTTTTTTTAAAGATGAGCAAATTGAGCTAAAGATTGCAGCGTCCCTAAGGTAATGACATATAACAAATTCAAGATCTCAAAACTTCCAGGGCCCGTAACTAACCCTCTCATAACATGGTAACTTACAGATTTTACTGGCCCCAAACCTAGCTAATGTCAGCATTGAACTATGTATAGCTTGGTATGTGAATCATGATTAAAAATCCATGTTTGACGGCTACATGCCATTGAAGTTAAAGAAGAACACAGTTTAAATGGATATAAAGCCTATTTTATTGCCAATCAGTTGTCAGTTAAGAAATAAATTCAGATAAAAACTTAAGTGATCTAGTTATGAAAAATGCAATCCCTTGTTTTATTTTCTTATTGCATACGTGTTTCTGTACTGGCTGTATGCTGTAGAATCTGTGGGAGTAGTTTGTCGTGTGTGCATGGAGGCCTGCGGCATTCGGACACGTTTTAGGATCTGGTTCTCTTGTTCTACCCAACATCTTAATTGTTGGACTGGGGATGATGCTACTAAAAGCTATGAAATCAGACTTCTTTCCAAAGTACTGCTCTTGTTTTACATAATCTTTTTCCCTTTAAAGATACTGTCAATTTCCCCTTAGTTTTTTTTTAAAGGAAAGGGCATATTTTAATTATGCCTTCTTGGGGTTTGTGTAAATCACTCCTCGGTCTTTTATGAGGACTAACTTTATATATACCAGGAGTCATCATTAAAAAGTTGAAGGAATATATTGCGTATTCCCTGTTCTTTTTCAGACTAATTCTGTAGTATTTTTATAAATCCTGCTCATCCAGGATTCTGAGGAAGAAGAGCCATATAAATGCCTGCAGTAGAAATGTTTCTGTCCCCATAGCTGTGAAGTTTTATGTGCTGTGTACATTTAAATCATCACCTGCTGCTTGTGCCTCATCTCTATCTCGCCTTCCCTCCTCAGGCAGCGGAGAATATTTGTGCCACATCTTTGGTGAGCATGTGCCCTCTTATTTATCTTTGTTTTCCTTTTATTTTGGCTTTTCACAATATTTTGACAATTCTACATTTGAGACAATTCAAACTGTGCGTGTATTTAAATGTTCTGTTCAGTATGGTAGCCAATAGCCACAGGTGGCTCTCAAGCCTTTGTAATGTGGCTAAATTTGGAAGACTGAGTATAAAAAAAAAAGAAGGTAAAACATGTCCTTTAAATATATTGCTCATATATTGAAATGATAATATTTTGGATATGTCAGGTTAAACAAATTTTACCATTAAAAATTAATTTCACTTATTTCTTTTTTACCCTTTAAAAAAAACTGGCTACCAGGAAGCTTAAAATTACACATGGAGCTCATGTCGGATTTCCATTGGTCAGTACTGCTAGAGAATCTATATAATTTGTTGGCAACCCAGCACTCAGATTCTGTATTTTATTCAAGGCCTGATATAGATTATGTCGAAATAATATTTACTGTCTTCGTATTCTGTGAATAATACTTCCCTCTTTTTAACCCAGTCTTCTAGTATTCTTAACTTTTAGCAAAAGTGATGAATGTATTAACATTTTTTTCATTCTATGAGTTTAGCATCCTTGATTTTTCTTTCCTGTGTTGTTTCTCTGCATTGGCTTTTCATCCTTAAGAGAATTAGTGGGTCCTCTGTGTTTTGAACTCTATGTTTATTGCTGGCACCATTGCAGAGGTCCCCATGTGCCCCTCCTTTGCTTACCCCCACCCAGTCTTCCACCCCCATCACTCTCTTAATGGCTCTGTGGTGTTTGCTCACCAGTCTGCGAGATAAGGGTCTCAGAATGTGGGCTTTGATCTGCATGTTTGAAAATCTGCTACTTTGAACGTGGGTAGTGATCTCCAGGAAGTTTTTTTTTCTTTTAAAATAAATCTTGAGTTCCCAATTGGAGGACATTATACGAGGCCCCATGCTCTTCTTTAGGGAAGTAAAGGTTATTGGATATTAAAGATGACCAAAGGAGCACCAAGATGTAGTCTTCAGAAACTTACTTATTTTTCGTATCTGGCCTGTTAATTCCTTTTAAAAGTGTTTGGAGCTGTAGTGAAGTTTTAAATGAACTTCACAGACTTGTGCTGAATCCATCACCTCCCTGCCTCCTTCAGAGGAATTCGAGTGGCCTTTTCATTGGCCCTTTGGTGTCCTCTCTGCCGAGAGTCGCATGGACATTTTTCTGCTCCTTAAGACCAGGGCGTGGAATTCTGCAGGCCAGACATCACTAACCCATTTGAGGACAATGAGTACAGAAAGTCAGAAGGTTTTATTTTGGTTCATTGGAGTGTCTGTGACCGGGGAGCTGAAATATGAAATAAACCAGCTCTGGAGACATCGAGGAAGAGATTAGACTAGTGTTCGGGTAGTGACACAGACGTGATTCATGCTGTATCTGCTGATGCCGAAACTTTCCAAATACTTGCAGTGCACTGATAGTGCGTTCCTTTAATGCTAAATATAGCTACCACTTCACAGCTAATCGGCAGGCTTATGGTCTGTTACCCTCAAGTGCTAAGGTCAACCTGTCCTTCTTTGTTTGTAGATATAAAAATATGTATGTGTGGTAGAAGTTGGGAAATAAAATACATGAAGTTAAGTGTGTACCTGTAAAACTTGGTTAGCTTAAATGTTGAAACTAATCATCGTAAAAGCATTTGAGCTAGTTACACTTTATTATTTTCTTTTGGTAAAGAGTCACAGAACTTAGATCTGAAAAAAAGAAAACCTTTAGAGATCATCTGTCTCAAATTCTTTGTCTTTCCATGTTGCGGATTAGTAAACTAGGCTTAAAGAAAGTAAACACCCTTTTTTTAGTCTCCATGACTAATGGAGAGCATAGGAAGTTAAATCACAGTTTGCACCTCTGACATTTACGATTAGTTTTCTCTCTGCCTGCATTTGACTTTTCTCACTCAGAAAGTTTCAGGCAGATTGAGACATCTGAGAATTCAGTTTTTAATTTCAAAGACACACTACTTGCCTCTGTGACCTGGGATACTTCATTTATAAAATGATAGGTCTTGATTAGATAATTCCTAAGATTCTTTGGCTGGCACAAATTATAACACAGAATTATTTCTTTTTTTCCTTTAAATGTGGATGGTGTTATTAGCTCAAATACATATTTTTCAACCTTTTAAAAAGCCACTTCTATTTCAAGTTTACAGTAAGTAACATTCAGAATCCACATGAAACCAAGGAGAAAAGAAGGATTGTGAGATTTCATTGCTGGGGCAAGGGCAAGGGGCACGTGTGTACCTGCGGTGCCACTCACCAGCTCAGCTGTGTCTCCATCTAGGTCAGCAGGCGGGCTCCAGGAGGAAGGGTGAGGCCCAGGCCCAGCTGTGAGGCTTTGAGATTTGATAATAGAAGTCCTGCTCTATTGTTCCTTCCCTGGCAGTATTTGTCTCGTCTGTTTCCAAGGCCTGTAAGTAGGCCAGGTGAGCCACTGAAGGTTAGCCTTGGGGCTTGATAGGAAAGTTGATAAGAGCTACCTTCCCCTTAGAACAGTAGGCAAGAAGGGACTTGGGACTTGCACTGTCAGATCAGCGTGTGCTGCCCTTACCATTCTCTTCAATTTCTCTGCCATGCTGAACCAGTTCAGCTTGATGTGGAGAGCCAACTATACATGCTCTTGAGGAGCTAGAGGTAGACTGAGGCTGCTTTTCTGCTGTCCAAAGAAGGATAGTGATGAACCCAACATAAATGCATGACATAAGTGCAAAAGTGAATCTCATTTACTGCAGCAGAATTCAGAAAAGAAGGATGCACGTGCTATGTAATGGACCATGTAGACGGGCTTGGTGAAGAGAAGCCACGTTTTGGAGAAGCATGATTTAGGTTCCATAAGCCAGCCTTGTGCTGTTCACTTGGCTAAGACTGGCCACCTCTCTCTTGCCTTATATCAACTATAGCTTACAGAAGCCTTTTTAGCCCTACGTTGATAGCATGTGTAGTTAGCCCTCAGTGTCTCTGGGTTCCACATCTGTGGAATTAACTAACCATGGATGGAAATATTTTTTAAACGTCATCTTATTGCTGCCGATGTGTGCTATGTATAGGGTAGTTGTCTGTACTGAACATGCACAGACCTTCTTGTCATTTCATAAACAATGCAGGTAACAACTACTTCCATAACACTCTGTATTAGATATTATAGATAATCTGGAGATGGTTTAAAGTATACAGGAGGATGTGCATAGATTGTATGCAAATACCACACCGTGTTATATACAGGACTTTTGTATCTTTGCTTTTGGTGTCTGCCAGGGCCCATGAACCAATCTCCCATGGATACTGAGGGACAACCATATGTTATTCATTCTCCTTCTGTAGCTCCTACTATTGCTTAGGTAGATCAGTGAACTAACTTGCAGAGCAGATGCAAATGCACTGGGGAACCAAGGCAAAAATCTTTCTTCAAGAAATAATTGATGCAGTGAAAGAATGTGGCCGATAGTCTTAACAGGGAAATGCCGGTTGTTAGTCCTTGGCTGACACTGAAACCAAGCAGAATTAACCTAAGGACACTGTTACCCAGTGGAGATAACAGCAGAGGCCCCTGTGTGTAATTAGTGCAGTTTGAGTATGTTCTTATTTTGTGTGTTAACTCGGGCAACATCAAGTTCACGGTCCAGAAAGGAAATAAACTCCTAAGTGTAGCAAGTTCATTGCCTTTTGCCTCATCTCAAGAAGGGACACCATACAGCCCTGTGTTTGTATACTCTTGCCATGACAATTCCTTCTGTCAAAAATGATTCTGTCCAGAAGTTTGGTGTATAAATTCTTGGCCCATCATTCAAAAAGGAAGGAGATAGAGTTTGTTAACTAGCATTTTTGAAAATACTATTTGGCATGTGAAAGAGGAATTAACAACCCCCTGTAAGTGCTGACACTGTTTGTGTACTTTTAATGATAATAAGAACACATAATTTTATAAACTGTAAAAGCTTTCTTCCTGATCTGATTATCTCACCATGGAAGATTATTTTTCAGAGTGACATTGCAAAGTAGTAGAGACAAGTGACAAAGTGATGTTGACACCAGCTATTTGTGAAATCACCTGGAAGCTAAGATTCGGTTCTGTCTTGAGTGTTGTTGGATTTACAATAAGAAATCCTTCCCTAGTTTTCAAGAAAAATTGTCCAAAATGTCTTGTTTAGATGGTCATTCCATATCTCCCCCCTCATTTTGTTTTGTTTATTATCACAATGCTTAGAAGGAGACATAGCCGAAGGGCTCTCTTCCTTTCCCTTAAGCTCCGTGAACCTCTCTCCTGAAGCCCTTTGCGGCCCGTGTGGGAGGGGGAGCACTGCCCCTTACTCCTACATGGGAGGAAGTAGAGGAACCCCCCTCTTAGAATCAGGTGGTGCCTCGCTTATTTCCTGGTTAGTTTTTTGTCCATTAGTAACACTTTTTTTCTGCCCCTTAACAGTGTTAAAAATCGAAAGAAAAACACTACTTAAGACCACAGGCCAGTGTACCCAAAATGTGTATTTTTCTGCATAGGAATCTCGTTTCTATGGAAATTTTCCTTAATTTGTATTGGCACTTCAAGGCCAATACAAATTAATTCGTTTCAAAAATGAACTTCCTCTTTTTCTTCTTTTGAGCTCCAAAGTAGGAGTCTGTAGATACAGTGTGTATGCCATTAGCACTCTAATTACTCTCCCATCACATGTGGCCATGGTTCAGATGCCGGTTTAATAAGATTAATCATACCGCTTTTAGTACTGGAGAATTGCGGTCGTGTTGTCAAAGTATGCTTTAATGTTCAGCAAAAACAAAGCCTGTTGACGTGTGAGTGGATGTGGTTCATTATTTTGCATTTCTCAACTGGTCAGGTAAATGGATTTCTACAGGCTCCAAGGGAAAAAAAGGAAAACTTTATTTGTTTAGACATTACTCCAGCATCTAGTTTAAGTTAATAATTTGGGGAAAGCTATTCTCTTCTCATTGTGACCTTGTTTTATTAAAAGTGCCTCTAATCTTTTTGCACAGCAGAGTTCACATCAATAGAACGTGGCTAGTTAAAACCTTCTGATAATTCGTATACCTACTGCAAAATATTACCATAGAATAAACAGGAGCTTGTGCTTTTGTAACTGTGGTTTGTGTATATTCAGCATGTACAAATGCATCCTGAGGACTTAGAATAAACCTGATTTTCTGGAAGTCCTCCTTGGATGGGCGCTGTGTTTGACTGTGAAAGAGACACACATGTTTCTCTGAGCAGCTGCTTGATTAAAAGCTTAGCCCCGGTCTTTCAGGGTGAGGTAGAATTGGCCAGACCTCAAGTGTACGTGATTGCATTTCATCTGTTTGCTATCGCAGCAGATGGATCTGTTTAATTGAATATTTGCAGTTTGTCCTTCATTGTGGACTAGATATACCAATGACTGTGGATTCCATTGACCAGAAAGAGTTAATGATGCTTTTAACTAGATAGTTATGTTTCCCATAGTAGTTTTAAGATTTATGGATCTAATAAGCAAGTGGGAGTTTTCAGCACTATTTCAGATTTTAGAGGTTGTCCCAATAACCTGGTCCAAGGAAAATGAAGCCATTGATCTTCCCAGGGGTTTCCATGCCCTCTCAACACCTATGTGTTAATGGGGTAAGTAAGGGTGGTTTTCACTTTGGAAACCTGCAGACTGTCAAATGGAGGGGGAGAACCGGAAAGGGCACTGCTTCCACTGTCTACCAGGTTTTATTGTGGAAACTGTTCACCAGATAATCGGGTTTAATTTGTAGCAGAGGGGAAGATTTGTATTGTAAACAAGAAAGCTCTTTGAAGATAAGTGGAGCAGTCTCTGTTGCAAGGATGCTGGAGAAGGCCTTGATTTTTTTAATGGCCTGGAGTGGTATGACATTTTTTCTTTTTTTTTCTTTCTTTTTTTCATCCTCTTTTCACGCTTTTGCTAGGCTACAGAGTGTTAGTGAAGCTGGAAGGTGATAATTAGTAGTCTTCACCTGTTTTTTTTTTTCCCAGGCTGGCTAATTAAAATGCAAAAAAACCTGCATTTTTTTTTTACCTCAAAGAGAAACATACTTCTTTTGACAGCTGCCTTTTGGCCTTCTGCAGTCTTTCCTGCCGCTCTGTTTTACTGACCACCTCTTTAAACAATTGGGAAGAACTCATATGCTTATTTGTAACACCTAAGCATTAGAGGAATTGAGTTCTCCTTGTGAATGCATGGTTTGTACCAATATTTTATCAGTATTGTACCATATGTTTGTTAATCCTATTAGCTCATTTAGTCAGTTCTTCTAGTCTTTTGCATTGGGCTTTTTCTTATTTGGTGTTGTGTCATTTGTAAGTCCTTAGGTCTTAGTGCCTGAAAGTTTCCTGGGTTGTGATGCTCACCAGTTTGGGGGCTTCTGTGTTGATATACAGGCCCTCTCTCATTTAGGACTTCCTGTCACACCCACCGTTGACTAATTGTTCAGCATTTCAAACACAGTATCTGTAGGTACTGAGCATGAGGTGTTGTGGACTTAGGTTCCTTTCCTTAGGTGCCTTGCCCCAGATAACCTGTTATTCTTGATTAACTTTGATTTTATAGTCTAAAATGGTGCTAAATTTTTATGAAGCATATTATAACAAATGTACCAAGTGCTACATTCTACTTTTGCCTACTTTTAATTGTCAGACTTGTGGGGTTTTCAAGTTTTACTATTTTCAAGATATTTTATCATCTAAGAAACTATCACAGAATTGGAAACAAATGTTTAGTTTTGTGTGCATGTGCGCACCTGTTTTCTAATCAGTGATTTACTGGGTTGCCTCTTTGTGCATAGTTTTGATTTTTGTGCTTATATCCCAAATAATCTTAACTAAAACACTTTCGTAACTAGATATATTGTAAGTAATACTCTCATGTTACCCATGATATAATTAATACAATTAGAGATGCTAAGTCAAAATTATAAATTATTTTAAGGACTTGAATGTGATTTTTTTAAATGCTGCTATCTCCGATACTTACCATTAATGTAGGAAAATAGCTTTAAAAAGAATAGCTTAAGCCAGAAACAAGAATCCGTGAAATGGCGCAGATGCTCTGAGCCGCAGAAACGGATGAGTACTGGCTCATCCTGTGGACTGCTTCGCTGTTAAGTAGTTACGTGTACGTGATTTTTAAAAAAATCATATCCATACATTTATAACTGTGGATAATTTCTATAGATAGTGTTTCTTCAATCTCAGATGAAGAAGTAAGTGCAAACCACCTGTCTAGGAGGAAAAAATACCCTGGTTAGTTGATGCCCATGAGATACATGTAACAGTTTCTTACCCCACATATGCTAATGGTAACTGACTGCTGGCAGGAAGTAAGATTTTTCAAGAATCTCACACTCGAAATCTCGGAGCGGAAAGCTTGTGACTAAGCCCTGTGAATGAAGTAATATCTTGAGGATACTATTTAAGAGAATGTATTCTACTCAATTTTCATCTCTTAAAAGTTCTGGTTAATGCTTTTAATAAATCTTCAATTCAGGAATCCACATAGTGGAAGGTTTTTTCTTTGTTTTCTTTTCCCCAGTTTAAGACATGTAAGACTTAAGTTAACCAGGAACCCATTTGTATTGAAGGTTTGTTTTAAAACCTCTTTATAAAATATCGTAGGATACTTTTGGTATTTTAACATCATTAATGAATGTGAATATAGTTTTACTTAAAGACTCTGCATTGACCAGGCTGAATAATTTTCTAAATTTGAATTTTCATTTTTCATCAAAGAGTTCTGTGACATGGGCCATGCCCCTAAAGTTAAAGAGAGTAAAAAAAAGGTTTACTGAATAACTGATATAAATTTTTCTGTTGTGAGATAGAACTTTTCTTTAAAGATTGGAGAAAAAAATAATTTAAAACTTTAAATATATCTAATTGATGGGGTCTGTTTGATAAGACGTCACTGTATTTCTTCGAAAAACCTCTTTTGAAAGGAATAGAAGGAATTTGCAAGTATTCCAGAACTCTCTAAATTTCATGCTTAATTACTTCATTCACATTTTTTTTGATTGGCATGTGGTTCCCTATGCTGTGTTCTGAAATATCCAAAATCACAACATCTTGATAAAGTCTGCTCTATTTTTGAATTGTTTTAAATAGTAACTTTAAAATTTGCATTAATTGGAAAGTACCTTGTCATAACATTTGCTTTGTGTCATGAAAGGTTATCTATATTTGGAAGTAACGTTTTGGTAAAAGGAAGATTATGGAATATTTATGAACTTTCTCTCTCACAGATTCGTAGGTTATTAGAACAGGATGGAACTTCAGAGCTTTTCAACCACAGCCTTCTCAGTTTGCAGGCGAAGGAAGCGAGGTCCAGAGAGATTGAATGACTTGCCCAAGGACGCACATCGGATGCCTAGTATAAGAAGGATTGTAACCCTGGACTCCTGGCTCCGGGTCAAGTGTTTTTTTACCATGGAAAATTCTCTCCAACAAATGTAATACAACTTTTCAAAAAATCACAGTGTGAACCGGGAAGGGAGTGAACTTTATTTGAGTATACTTCATTAGGGTGAATTAGTGTTTGCGTATATATGAGTGTAGGTAGTTAACTTTTTTCCTATTGAAGTATGTTTAATTCAATATGCTAACTACAAGAATGAGAGTGATCTTACTCGGATGAGGATAAATTTAGTTATTCTCATGACCCCGTTTTAGGACTATTGCTACTTGATAACATCTTCACAACGTAAGGGAAAGGAATACACTGTATGAAGCCCTTAGCTTAAATTCTTGGATCACTTTATAGTTTTTAAAAGTATGTTTGAAGAAAGTTGAAAATTAACTTTTATCTGTAAATGGCCCTTGATTTCAAGATATCAACAGTTATAATCTCAGCTTTCATGTAACCAAATTCTATGATATGGAACAAATACCTGTGCACTTTCAATTAATTTTGTTTCAGTTCATTTCTTTACCAGCAATTATTTTGGAAACCTTTTAATGAATATGGTAAATATTTTCACATTCACTGTATTTGGTACCAACAGAATAAAAAAAACTACTGATAATATTATTTATAGTCTTCCTTCATTATAAATCAGTTTCAGTAACCAAAATCAATAATACAGCTGATTGGAACTGATTTTTATCTTGGAGAGACAGATGGAATAATCACAGCCACTCGGCATCAAGAAGGTGCTGCAAGAACACCATGCCACTGGCCATAGCTGGTAGAGTTTTCTGGAAAGAGTGTTGTTCCAAGTTTTCCTGGGCCATTGGGATTCTCAGTGTGTAGCCCATTTTCATATGACAGAGCCAAAAAAAATTTTAAAACAGTAAAGGTATCAGTTGGGCTTATGGCAGACTTGTATCCCTTCATTTATTCTTTAAGTGCTATTTTCCTGAGTTCCCCCTGCTGTATGTACCCACTATTAAGTAACTAGTGAAAACAGGGAGCGCTTTCTAGGCAAATCAAGTTTTGATGATTATAATCAGCTCTGGTGTATGTATTATGTATTTCATCTGACTTGAAATTTATGCTGTGATTTTTTTATGATCTTAAGACCAGTTTCAGTTGCAATGTTAAGGATTATTAGGTATTTAACATTGCTCACTATATACTAATAACCTATTTTATACTTTATTTTCCTCCTAATTTCCATTTCAGTTTCTTGGATAAGTAATTTGAGGTCATTACTCCCACCCCTTGCCACCTTGTCCACAAATAAACCAGATAAATAAGGCCTCTAAGTATTAATTAATTCTAAACCACAAGATAAGGTTGAAGATTTTCTATATTTAATTTACATTGAATGTCTAAGTCTTGACTTAAAAAGGCAAAGGAATAATTTGCATATTCATGTAAAACGTAATAATCTACTCTGCAATTGCTCTTCTGCAAGGTTCCACCTACTGTCATTCACTGTAAGATTCTTGACGTGGAAATGGGTCTCTCGTCTTGCACAGGGTCCACAGCCGTGACTGCAGGCCCACGTATATGGGACCGGAGAGCAAGGGTATTGGTCTGTGGTATTATCCTCTGTGTTTCTAGTTAGGACAAGCTAAAAAAAACAAAACAAAACATTTCAGGAAATGATTTTGCAGAGATGGATCAGCATGCCCAGCCTATGCTTGAAGTTTTTCATTTCTTAATTCTTTAGGCATTTTTTCAGTCAGTCAATTCCAAACACTTGGGATTTCAGTTCTCCATTTAATAAAGTAAAACAATAACATCTTATTCCACTAAAATTAAGTCACCATTCTGTGGTTTATGGAAAATATAATGGATTCCCCTAAAGAGAGAGGGGAACCACTAGGTTTTGCTCTGTCTTCTCACTGGAAAACTAAGACACAGGCCAGTTTCATTGCAGAGAGGTTTCAGGTTCACGATAATGGTGAGTTGACTTGTGGGCCTTGGGAAATGGGAATACGCCTTAGCTCGTCACCACGCACATTCATCGCCGGTTCCCCCTTAAGCACTTGGAGAAATAGAAGGGGCACGCGGGTCGAAATGGAAAGAGCAGAGAAAAACTGAAACAGCTGTACAGGTGGCTAATTTTGGCTTCGATAGGGTTTTCATAATGGCTCCAGTAGGAAGTCTTTGTAGCATGAAGTCATTATTCTACTTTCATGTATTTGGAATCCTTCTTAAGCAGTCAGGGAAATGAGAAACCCTTTCATGTTTCAGGTGGACTTTGGTAAACTATTGTATGCTTCATTCTCCACAATTTAGTTTCCTGGATTCCAGAAAAGTTTATTCTTGTAATTCAATCAGTTCTTTCTCTTCTGAAAACTCTGAATCCCAAGAACTGCTATTTCAGGCCAACATAACACTTTACTCACGTTAATACGTGCATAGGTATTAAAATGGGTGAGATTAAATTCCCAAATGTGTTGGGGTGTATTTGTTTATAAATCACAGGTGTGGTCACGGTCAAGTCTCCAGATGGCTTTTGGAGGAATATAAGTTAATAGGGTTCTGTTAAGGAAACGCATACAGGTGCAGATGACTTTGAAAGGCAGGAAAATTTACCACTGCCTTTATCATGGCTTGATGAAAATTAAGGTATGTGTGGTCAGGAGGGCCACATAAATAGCGACAAGGGTCATATGACAAAGCTACGCAAGTCTGGGGTATGTGTGTGGTTTAAAATGGCAAGTATAATATGGTAAGTTCTGGAATACCTTGGGAAAAAGGTTTAGATATAAAATCTTAAGTAGAAAGCCAACTACTAAGGTATTCTAGATACCATGTAACTGGCAAGTGACTTAAACCATTAATATATATGTCTTTGAACAGAACCACATGTAAGACGAGGTAATATATGAGTTGACTAAAGTGTTCTGACCAGAGGCTGTCAGGATCCTCTGTTTCTCTCCTAGGAGCAGTTGTTACATATTTTCACTAACTTGGTGTTTAAAGTGACTTTATGGAACATAACTATCATGAGTAATGGGATTCAACCTTAATTTTTTTTCTTTTTAAAAGATTGAGTTCTATGTGCATTTGTGTATTTCTTTTGGGGGGGGTATTTTTATTTTTTAATCATTTTTAAAAATACATTTTATTGATTAAGCCATTACAGTTGTCTCATTTCCCCCCTTTATTCCTCTCCACCCTGCGCACCCCCTCCGCCACATACCCCCTTTAATTCATGTCCATGTGTCACAAGTGTTTTAGCTTCTGCATTTCCCATACTATTCTTGCCCTCCCCCCTATCTATTTTCTACCTACCATCTATGCTACTTATTCTCTGTACATTCTCTCCCCTTCTCCTCCTCCCACTCCCCTGTTGCTAACCCTCCATGTGATCTCCATTTCAGTGTTTTCGCTCCTGATTTAGTTGTCTACTTAGTTTGCTTTTGTTTTAGGTGTGGTTGTTAATAACTATGAGTTTGCTGTCATTTCACTGTTCATATTTTTTATCTTCTTTTTTCCTAGGTAAGTTTCTTTAACATTTCATATGATAAGGGCTTGGTGATGATGAACTCCTTGAACTTGGCCTTATCTGACAAGCACTTTATCTGCCCTTCCATTCTAAATGAGAGCTTTGCTGGATAGAACAATCTTGGATGTAGGTCCTTGCCTTTCATGACTTGGAATACTTCTTTCCAGCCCTTTCTTGCCTGTAAGGTCTTTTTAATCATTTTATTGTTGTTCGAGTATAGTAGTCTGCACTTACTCCCCACCACTTGTGCATTTCTTCTTAATGTTGTATTATGACCACTTTCCTGTGTCATTAAATATTCCTCAATATCTTTTCAATTATATGTAGCAGTACAATATACAAATGGGCTTTCAAGTCCTTTTGGTCCTGGCTGCATGGCTGGCTCAGTTGGTTGGAGCATCATCTGTACACCAAAAGGTTGCAGGTTTGATCCCCAGTCAGGGCAAGTACAAGAAGCAGCCAATTGATGTTTCTTTCATGTTAATATTCCTCTCTCTCTCCCACTTCCTCTCTCTAAAATCAATTTTTAAAAAAAAGCAAAACAAAAAAAAAAACATATCCTCGGGTGAGGATTAGAAAAAAAAATCCTTACATAGAACACGTACTAGCACCCACCCAGCTTTTTTGCTCCAACATGCAATTCTGCAATAAACATCTTTGTAGTTTTATCTTTATTACATCCACGATTATTTCCTTAGGATAAGTTTTGTGCAAAAGAAGTTTTTGGAACAGGATATGCAAATTGAGACTTGCTGTTTGCAAGATTTCTTTTGTGATCTTTCTGTGTTCTTCTCTGGATAAAAGGGAATTAACAAAAAATGCTGTTTTTATCAAATTTTGAAAACCTGTATAGGAGTATAAGAAAATTACTAGTGATTTGTATCTCTTATTTCTGTGGCCATTTGTAGTAAATTTGTTTTAATGTGTTTAAGTTGCAGGGCAGTGTACTTTAGATATGGAGAGAATTGCAGATTCGATAAGAATGTATTTGCAGAAGCTTCTAGGATAATTTATTTCCAATCCTTCTTTTTTATTTATCAATACAACCTTATCAGGTTGGAGATGATTTGAATATGTTATTGTGAATTTGTTTTTCTTTAAAGAACAAAACTGCATAGCTTTATTTTCTTTGGACTAGTATAACCCATTGGTATAGAGGGGAACCTAAACTGTTCACTTTCATTTCCAGCGCTGCCTCTTTGGTTTTCTTTTTCTAGCTTTGTTTCAAACAGCTAAATCCGGGAAACACCAATTATGCGTCTTTTCTCTGTGGAGGCAGACTCAGAAGTGAAGGGGTACTGTTCCCTTCCATCTAGCAAGTCAGAGCAGGTTCCCTACACAGACCCTGATTAATGCCTCTGGAGAAATGTAGGCAGAATGCATTGGAAATACAGAGGTTGGAGCAAATGCTACTTTCTGCTGTGAGATTCAGCAGCTGAAAGAGGTGGCATGTGTGCTAGACATTGAAAGATGACTTATGCTCATGGGAAAAATTATCTAATGCTCTGAATTTGCATACTTGTACTACATTGGCAAATTTTTAATTTTGCATGTGATCTTTCTTGAGTAGGGAACGTGCCTAGCTTATCATTTATTTTAAGCATTGCTGCTCCAAGAGAGCAAATGTTGGTTTATGCTATTTAATTCTTATTTACAGAGTACATTGTGACATTTCATAGTTTGTACATTTCTAAATAACAATTTTTTGGGTTTGCCTCTGCAGTGCCTTGGTGATCATAAATTATTGAATATACAATATTAGATTGTGTCAATAGATTTGAATTTGTTAATATTCTTCTGTGATTTGATCATTTTGGATTTGTTCTACTTTTTGATTAATATGGAAAATGATAAATTAACAAGTTAATGCTTCCATCTTTTTCTTTTTATTTATTATAGGGTATCTTTAGAGCATATATTCCTAGGAATGGAATTACTTAGAACTACTTTATTGCTTTTGTTGTATGTTTCCTATTGTTTTCCAAAAATGTGTTGTTAATTAATGACATTTCCTACAACGGTTGCCTCATGATTGCGTGTTATATGTATTAAAAACAACAACAAAAAGAATCCTGCTTTCTTAACATCCATAAAATAGCATCTCAAGGTTTCTTTAATTTACATATCTTCGATTGCTAGCCAGGATCAATCTTTTTTTAATTGTATTTACCTTTGGAATTTTTTGTCTTGTGTTAAAACATTGCTTATAGTTTTACCCAAATACTTGCCTTAAAGTGTCTTTTCTTTGCCACAATTAAGGACATTTAATACTTTATGGAGTGACTCCAAGTTAAATATATATTTATGTATATAAAATTTAAAACCTACAACTTGAACCTTTAAAGACCTGATAGTGTAGTGCGAATATCACCTCATGTTAATGGCTCTTACTCAGATTCAAACACTTTAAGGAATAAAAACATGTCCGAACCACCCTCATTATGACCTGTGAAAGAAGCATAAAGCATAGTTCCCAAATGCATAATTCCCAAATAGTTGATTTTCTCACATTGGAATGCACCCATTGATTCACAGCAGTACTGCTTATGCTTCTCATTAATTCACTCATCCCTCTTCTGTTCCATTATTATTGTACCTCATACATGTACCTCACATGTACCTTAATCACAGTACATTGCACTTTTTTATCACTTCTGTGTTTCCGCATCTGGACACTTCCTAAGGAGGGGGAAACCCATAGTCAGATTGTTTCTTTCTTTTTTTTTTTTTTAAAGTTCCTCCTGCCTAACACATAGCAGTGCAGTCACGCCTGAGTTTGTTGGTTCATTCAACAAGCATTTATTGGATGTCTGAGTGCTGCCCTAAGCTTTATTGGGCATGCAGTATATGATGATGAAAAAGCCCTGGTCCCTGATGTCTGGCCAGATCCTTTACAGGGGGGAAATCCTGGGTCCCTAAGTAACTGATAGAGTGTGAAGTCTGATTTTCAACCTAAGAATGGCCCTTAGCTACTAAAATATATGAGTTGAGACACCTTATTAAAGCAGCAATGATCAGGAATTATTGGAAAAATATATAGAATAACATGCTATAAACTTTTTAAAGGTTGTTTTCCCAGACTTGATAGGTTTTTAGTTAAGTTGGCGTGACCAGCTGTAAGCCCCACCCTCACTCATAAAAGACTTTAAGGCCTACAAATGCTTTTTTTAGAGCTTAGAATTCATCTATTTAAAACTCTTTTTTACAGCTGAACTTCAAAGCAGTTTTGACTTTCCCCAGGCTAACTGAGGTTTTTCTTTGAAAAGAAAATATTTCAAAAACGTGGAAGGATATAGTTCTTCATAAATATGATGAAGAACTTTATACACCTCTTTTCATGTCTGAGCCTATGAGTTTTTAATCAGACGCGAGCATCACTTAGATTCGCTTCTCTGAGGGCCAGGAGGGTGTGTCCAGCTGGCCTCTGAGCATTCGCTCTCCCACACCGCCCTGTGTCTCGGCTTCGTGGATCCGGAAACTGTGATGTTTAGACGTGTATATGCATTGCTTTTTAAAGAGAGACATTTAAATTTACTTTTGGGGGCAGTTATGGTCCTCTTTGTGACAAAGACATGTTTTTGAGTGTTAGTTTTTTGGTATAGTTTAATTGTAAAGGAATGAACTAGAAATGTCAAGGAAATTGTGTTAATCATGCAACCGGCTGGCATTAGTAGTGTTTTTCTCAGGGTTGTATCTGACTTTTATGGTCAAGTGTTTCATTGTTGTTGAGAACAATGCAGTGTTTTCTCTTCTGTTTTACTTTGCTTAGGCTTCCAAAGATAAAGACATAATTATTTTAATACCACCAGACAAAGCTAACAGAGTGGCCTCCATATGGGATTAGAATGGTGTAAAGAGGCAGAAAGGAACCTTTGAAACTCTTATCTAGTCATTCAATTCTAAAGACTTTGCATTCTCATCTTATTACATGGCATCTCTTTCTGTTAAAGTGAGGAGGTTCGGGGGCGAGAGACTCCAGCGTAGTTTGGCAACTTCCAGTGAAGGCTTTGTTGTTTTTCTTTAACCGAGTCAGAGGTTTTGATTCCTGAGTACTTTTTACAGGAGTGTGTGATTTCCCCGAAATGCCAAATTTTGTGAGTGTATCTGTTTTTTTTTCCTCAGGAAGAGGATTCATAGATCATCAGCTGTGTTCTCAAAGTGGTTCTTGAACAAAATGAGGATGAGAACTGTCACTCCAAACCTTGACACAGTGCCTGCTAGATTGTTGTAACCTACGGAATGACAAACAACTTTATTATCATTATCCTTTGAACAGGTCTTTCAGAATGACAGAAGTGACAGTTCTGTGTTACTTGTATTTGTAATTTGCCCAATAATATGAAAAATATTCAAATTCATTTGTTGTCTTTGGAAAGAGCACACAACTTAGATATAGGGAGATGGCTTAAATATAGGGCCTAGGCTTCACCATGGGCTGATTCTGCTTAGTTGTCAAGAAACTTTCTTTTCAATTAACATCTTTCACTGTTAAGGGGGATAGATGTGAACATTTAAATGATTATATCTTTCTCCTGTAATTCTGTTCATTCTGTAGAATTAGAAATAAATTTGTTGTATTATTGTAAATGTATTTTAAAGTACAGAGAAGTCAAAGAGTTCTTTCAGTATGCAGTACATGAGTCAATACATGCTAAAATGTGGTAAGATACTACCCTGGATTTTGTCTTGCTTTGGTTTTTTTCAAAGATATGGTCTCCACAAAAACAGTATTATATATTAGGATTTTCAGCTGCTAGTTTCTGTAAAGCTTTTACCATTTTCATGCTTTTAGGTAGTTTTTTTCTCTTCTGATCAATATTTTATTCCTATTTCTTGTAATGGGGACTTTGGAGGAATTTTGAGAATTGGACTGAGCAGAGCTTAATGACATTGGGCTTTAGACTGGTGACCACCACCGTTTGTGTCTCTCAGCTCTTCATCTAACTCCTTGGTGTTTTGTTTTATAATATTCTTTTCAAATTTTACCCAAAAGTAGCCTTAATAAAAAATGCCAAGATTAGAGCAGGACTAGCACCGAGTAGTGTTGGTTTGGCGTCATTGTCAATAATTTCTCTGGCTTTCCCACAGTCTTCTTTCCCGGACCTTGGAGATAAAGGAATAATGTTGGCTGAGGCATTCAGACGTTGTAGAACCACTTGGAAATGAAGTGTTAGACTGCATTTGGAGGTGGGGTCTGTAAAGAGGTAATTAAGTCCTTGTCGTCATCAGGGTGGGTCCTAATCCAGTGTGACCTGAGTAAGGCCAGAGGGACACAGACTTGCCCAGGGGGAAGACCAGGTGAGGAGACTGGGAGAAGACAGGGCCACATCCACAGGCCCAGGAGAGAGGCCTCAGAAGAAACCAGCCTTGATCTCAGACCTCCGGTCTCCAGAGTCATCAGAAAATAAATTTCTGTTGTTTAGGCCACCCAGTCTGTAGTACTATGTTATGGCTGCCCTGAGCAAATTAATACAGGGACCTGGTTTAAAGAGTGATTAAAATCGCTCAGTTAATGCAATGAAAATATATAAATCTATCATTTCATATTTTTTGGAAACAAAGTTTTTATTAATGTCTCTTCCCCATAATTCTTTTGAGGATGCCCTGA